AGACCTCATCATACACGGCAGGTGGCTCTTGCGGAAACATCAAGGAGTTTCCATCTACAGGTCTATGTGGGTGATACGGTTGTTGCTCTCCTCCAGTGGTGCAATGGTAACAAAGCGAGCGGTGGCAGATTCCAATACAATATGATACTTGTAAGTTTTCTCATGGTCTTTTCGGTGAAGTTGGTCGCAGTTGTCCTAGATCCGGATATTCTTTTTCCTTAATTAATATAATCAAGATATTAGCGTAAAAAAAAACTTTGAAGACAACCATGTTATCATAATTCTATCATTTTGGTTACAAATTTTTTTTCTCAAGGGCCATTCAAGGTAGTCATTAGACCAATCTGCAGATCCACGACGATGCCTTCAGCAGCATTCACTTCTTCGAGATCAGGAAAGGACATTGAAGATCTTTTTAATTAGTTGTGTCCCTTCTCTCGTAGATTGACTTGACATACTTCTTTTTATTATTACAACTGAGATGTCCAAATAGTTGTATGGATGCCAGAAGCCCAGAACTAAACCCGTCAGTTTCATCAAATCAATGGCTGTAGCTTCAACCAATCACTGTACTTCAACTAATCTTATCTCTTGCTAGTACGTATTACACACATTTCACTACGATCGAACTTTTACGCTCATGATTAAACTGAGAACCTCCTTGCAACTGATGAAACTGATCTTTGATGAAACATGTCAATAAACGGAGTCTTAATTGGCACCACTCCACAGAAACTATCAGGTACAAATAGGAGCTACAAATAGCTTTTAACCTCCTATCCTTCAGCAGCATCCACTTCTTACTTCTTTCAGGTGCCAACTTTTAATTTGGTGCCTCCCTTTAGCTAGTCTGGACACTAACCTACAATTTACCATGAAAATGGGAGGTGACACTCATAATTCCCAGCAGCAGAGGAGAAAGAGATCACACTGAAGGCGCAGAATGACTTGACTGATGAAACTTCCGGCCTGACCCATCAGCGATTCAGCGTAGCACTAGAAGCACATAGCAAAAGATTGAGATGTTAGTACGCCAGATATATTGGATGGAAAGCTGAATTCCTTCAGAAGGAATGTAACACTGACTGAGTGAGTGAGGAAAAATAAAATACATGCGAGTTTCCCCCCAAAAGCAACATACTATATGTGCAGGAGAACAGGGAAAATGGTTTATATGACCCTCCCAGACTAATGCAAAGACACTCTCATCACAGCGAAGAGCACAGAATGGCAGCCTTTTCAGAGCATAATAGACATTACAATTCGATACTGAACATGGCAAGCATTGCAATTGCATAAGCCAAAAAATTGACAGATCAAATAATGAATGGCAGCAGCTTCCCTCTAGCTACTTGTATAGACATCAACAGATGAGCATTGCCCATTGATGCAACATGAACTGTAGCAGGAACATCTAATACCATGTCTCAGGCATATCATGCAATACGGTGAACAATCCGTTGCTAGTCGCTTTTGGAGAATGTTCAGCAGAGACCTGGCATTATGATATGGATAGATCCATATTTTATTCAAACTGGCATTGTTATTCCTATATGTAAGAAAGATAAAATTATATATATTTAAATTTAGAAGGCAAATGGCTGACACATAGCACCAGACACAAGTCGAAGATATGGTCAACCCATGGCACAAGTTTTTTTTTTTGAGAAATGAAAGCATTTTATACTATCAGCTACATCGTGTACTCTCTATATTGTTATATAAGAACTTTTAGCAAAACAGCATTGAGTAAATGGTCTTCTATGGAATGATGATGAGAATTCACGAGACAAGTCCAAACAGCAAACAGTTACTTCCAATTTCCAAACAATACTACTAGTTTGCATATGCAGGATCATGTGCCCATTTGTTCTGTGTATATGACTATCCGGTGGTAGTGGCGGTGCCTCTTTGATCCCAAAAGTTACTATTCCATAGAAGTGAAATTTCATGCAAAAGCCTAGAGAGCAATGAAAACTTCAGAGAAAATAAAGCATTTAACCACACAGTTGTGCAGTCCTGGCACCACCACTGGTCCAAAGAAAGGAACAGTGATATACAATACCTTCTTGAGAATTACATTTCTCCGAAGATGGAGCAGCATCTTCAACACTGCTACCAGAGGTCTTTGAGTCCCCAGCATCATCTTCCCTGGTTGTGCCCTTCACCAATTCTTCAATTGGTGCACTCTTGGGGACAGAATCCAAAGAACCATTCACTTCTTGAGCTTTGTATGCACATACATATTTGCCAAACATGCTAGCACAGGCTGGAGCAACTTCCACATGGCCTGGAGACCTAGGTGAAAACAAAAGTGTAAATTTTCAGTCTATAATTGTTAAGTTATAGATAACACAAGGCCATGGAAGTTACTGCAGTCTGAGATAGAACAACACTGCTACAATTATTTCATCAACCATTTTTGATGACACGAGATATAACAATGTTCTGTTCTCTGCTGTTTATAACAACAGACTAGCCAGCACCAGGGGTATATAATTCTTGTTGAATAACATAACAACCTATCCTTCCAATAAATGCGCTATAATTTAATGTTCATCGCAATACACATATCATGACAAAAGATGCCAGGTCCTAATTCTCCGCTATCGGAAAAAAAGTACTAAGGTTAATTCGACTCACTGAATCCCTCAAACGCAGCTGGGCTCGTCGCTAATCACAAGATAAACTGCTTGGCAACCACATCGTCCTAGAACATCTTCTGAACAAAACGACTCAAAGCCTAAAGCTGCGAAGGGCACATTGTGCTAATCATAAAGAGCACCACTCAAAGCCTAAAGCAGCGAATGGCACATTGTGCTAATCATAAAGAGCACATTTGGGAATGGAGCCATCACCTGATATTGTGGTCGTGGCTGACGCATTTGAAGGTGTTCACAAAGTCTCCCTTACTGATAGCATTGGACCCCTTGTCGAACAGCTTTTGTGCCTGATCTATTGTTTTCCCCCCCTCTCCCCCCTCCTCACCACCTGCCTCCCCACTAGGCTTTGACACCAGCAGATGCTGTTGGACGCCTCGGAGCACAGGAGTGTAGAAGGTGACAACCGGAACCAAATTACCAAAGCTACTATGAACAAACACCTTCCTCACCTCCTCTGATTGTAGCTCAATCGTGAAGACGCCAGCAAGTGAGTTAACGAAAATGACATTAGCTCCCTCGACGAAGCCCATCACCCACACTCCATAACCTTCACTCAAGCGAGCACTAGCTGGGAAAAAATTGTGCAGGTTGATGACACGGCTCAGCACCCATTGTGCATCAGTGTCCTCACTCGCTTTCTCCAGTGTCCACAATTTGAGATGCGGACACCAATCTTCAATAAGTCCTAGTCGACCGTCCTCCGTCAGAATGAGATTAAAACGTACGTTCTCGTCATTGTCTGGTGGGACGAACAGAGTCAGGGCATGCCTTGCCAAGTCGTACTCCAGGACGGACGCGCTGGCCCGGAAGTAGAGCAGTGAGCTGCCAACGAGCACGCTGGAATTGTCTGTGATTTCTATGGAGAGCTCGGTGTGCAACGAGGTCAGTTCGCCCCAGGCACCGGCCTCCGGCGAGTACACGCACGCCGATGTGACATTTTGCTCCTCTTTGGTGTGCTCCTCGAAGACGAAGACCACGCGGAAAGGACCCCCGAGGCAGTCGCGGTGGTCGCACCGGTCCGCTGCGCACAACACCGCCGCGTTAGAGTACATCAGCGCGCCCGGAAATGGCTTGGCGCTGTCGTACGCCGCGGGCACAGGTAGGCGGTTCTGGGCGCCGGTGATGGGCTCCCACACGAGGAGTGTCTCGGCGTGCTGGTTCACGGAGAGGAAGAGGGCGCGGCCGTGGCGGCAGTCGACGGCCCGGCACGAGTGCCAGTCCGGAGCGTGGAGGGAGAAGGACGTGGCCGTGGTGGGGATGAAGGTGCAGGTGTCATCGCTGGCCCAGCTGGGGAGGAACCCAAGCAAGGGGGGTGCTTGGTGGAGCTCGTGGAGGCGGCGGCGGAATCCGGGGTGGGAGACGGCGAGGCCCCAGGCCTTGCATACGAGGGACGCGCGGAGGAGGGAGGCTGGGTCGTCAGGCGGGAGGCGGGCGAGGATCTCTTGGACGAGCTCGTCCGGGAGCGCCGCCGCCGGCGGCGGCGGTGCGGCCATGGTGGCGGCTAGGTATGGGTTTGTTTGCGGGAAGAGGGAGGGGAAGAATCGAGCCCGAGTCTACTCATCAAGTTATCCACTCAAAAAAAAAACAGTTATCCATTCCCATTTGCCCATTTGCCTAAAAAAAAGTTATTCGTCCGCATTTTGCAATTGACCGAAAAAGGCCTTTTACCACATTTTATATATAAAGCAATGATCATTCACAAACCGGTACAAACGGACAGGGCCGGTCCTGAGATTTTAGGGGCCTGGGGCGAAGCTAAAACTCGGGACCCCTCAATATAGAAATCATAATATCGATATGAATATATGTATATATTAAATTTTATCAATAACACATAAATGTATCTAAACTAAGTATGCAGTCAAATAATTTATGTAGATTACATTAAAAATTTCTTCTAAGATCCGTCGATGCAAAGTCACATATGATTGGGGTGATGTCAATGTCATCCAATAATATGGGGTCGACATTTACTTCTTGCTGGTCGGATTCCGAATTCCCATTAGTTGGTTCCTCTTCCTCTTCCTCTATGACAACCATCGCCAACTCATAATCTAGGTTTATCGGTGTAGGGGAAGCACCAGTATTACTCGTGAAAAGTTTTTGAATATCCTCCATTGTGATTGTACTAGTATTACGACATGATATTGATATAAGACATGGTTGCAAAAATATCGTTGCATAATCAGCGGCGCCGGGGAACAGGATTTGAAAGGAATTACTCGCAGTAGCCGGGGGCGGCAGTATGGCGTCGGCGGCCCTAGGGCTGGGACTAAGAAATAGGAAGGGATCACGATCTGTGCTAAAAAAGAAGAGAAAGGGATCACGATCGCTCCTTCTTTTATGCGAAGGGATGCATGCGAATCGATCGCTACCGGGCGGGATCGGGCTATCGGCCTGCTGCTATTTGCCTGGCTGCGTCAAAGCCCAACGCCCCAGCCCTTTCATTTTTCTTTTCTGGCATAGGCCATAGCCTAGCCTGCCTACATACCTGGGTG